AGCAGATGGCTTAGCTGCTGTCACCATCATGCTGCTGAAACTTGCCAAATCCAGGGGCCCTTTTATGTGCCTGTGTATTTGACCTGTCGACACTGTAGACCGCTCCTTCCTCCTTAGCTCATGTGGTACCAACTCTCTGGTTTTTTCCCAACCATTTACTCCTTCTCATGTTCCTTTGCTGACTCCTCTTCTTCCCAGCTTCTAAAATTTGGCATGTTCCGGGTTTTGGGCCTACCCGTGTCCCCTTTCATTCTCTCAGTGCACCGTCTCTGGGCAGCCTCATGTAGTCTCAGGACTTTCATTACTATCCGTAGCTCTAACCCAGCCCTGAGCTCTGATATTTATCTCTCCAGGTATCTACATGACTTCTCCATTTGAATGTCTCACAGGCAGTTCGAACTTAACATGCCCAAAACAGAATTCTTGGTTTTACTTACAAAACCTGCTTCTCCTCCAGTCTTACTCATTTAAATAAGTGGCACCACTGTCTGCTCATTTAATTATGTCAGATACCTAGAATTTCTCTCTGATTTCTTTCCTCCCTCTCCCCCTCCCCATCCAGTCCATCAGCAAGTCCTTTCACCTCTGTCTTCAAAATAGATCCCACGTCTCCCTATGATGCAAGCCATTATCTCTCAGCCAGACTGCTGCAGTGACGTCTTATTGGGCTCCCTGCTTCCACTCTTGCCCCCTTAGAATCTTTCCTACATATCAGCCAGTAATTCTCTACAAATGTAACTTATTTTCTCTTATAATAAACTCCAAAGTAGGACATCTGTCATATTTGATTTGTTAGAAAATACTGTAGTTCCTGTTGAACTTCTTTAGGTGTCTGATGGGAATAGTTTTTTCCTACAATGATATGAGACCTATCACATTAATCTGCTCATTTACTTACTTCTCCAAGATTTGTTTGAATTTGCTGTACGTGTGTTCCCTTTAGAAAATTATCTGGAACTTGAGAATCATGGTAACACAGAAGTAAAGTGGCATCTGTCATCTTTAGCGCCACCTTATGTCAAGGTCAGTAATAATTGACTTGAATATATTCATTTTCATGTTTAAACTTTTTGCAGGACATTTTAAAAATTGAACATAAGAATATGTTGATGTTATTGGTTATTTGTTCCACCAACTCATTTAGTTGAGATTTTCTCTGGGTGTTTTCTAATTTGATTATTTAAATGATTCCTCTGTAGGGAGTTAATGAAAGTGGAGATGTATTTAGAGCTACCTATGCAGCGTTCAGATGTGCTCCTGTTTCTGGCTTGTTGGAAAGCCACGGAATCCAGAAGGTGAGTTTTCACATTTTCTCACAATCGCTTGGTGAGAACATGGTACTAGGCAGCCAGGAGTGCTTTTTTTGATTCCATGCAAATCAGTTTATTTTACCTAGACCAGTGCCACTCAAAGTGCCAGTCTGCAACAAGAGAAGATGTTTTTATCAGAATGTAAATCAATGCATTGCTTCCTGCAGGAAGGAAGTCTTGCTATGAAAAAATTGTCAGCTGACTAAAACATCAAAACACAAGTTCTTCATCTTTCGCAGACCAGCAACATACAAAAAAAAAGTTAGCATAGTACACCCACAGAAATACTTCGTGGGGGGAGGGTACAGTTGGCAAAAAACAACATAAAACACGTGTTTTTTGCGTAAAAATGTGGTAATATTGTTAGGATGTCAGTACTGCCCAAAGTGATCTACAGATTCAGTGCAATCCCTATCAAAATGCCAACAGCCTCTTTTTGCAGAAATGGAAAGGCCAATCCTCAAATTCATATGAAATTACAAGGGACCTTGAATCGTCAAAGCAATGTTGAGAAAGAACAAAGTAGGAGGACTCACACTTCGTGAATTCAAAATATACTATAATGCTATAGTAATCAAAACAGTGTAGTACTAGCATAGTGCTCCTGTGAAAATACCTCGCAGGTGGAGGGTGCGGTTGGCAAAAAAAAAAGTAGGTTGCGTGCATTATTTGTGTAAAAATACAGTAGTCATTAGGGAAATGCAAATCAGAACCACAATGACCAGAAGAAATAGATGGTGCCTGGCT